AAGCATGAAGTGCTCCAAAATCTCCTGGTAGACGGCTGCGTTGACCCTGGACTTAATGAAGCACAGTGGACCAACACCAGCAGATGACATGGATCCCCAAATCAACACAGACTGTGGAAACATCACACTGGACTTCAAGCATCTTGCAGTGTGTGCCTCTCCATTCTTCCTCCATACTCGGGGTCCTTGGTTTCCAAATGAGATGCAAAAGTTGCACTCATCAGAAAAGAGGACTTTGGACCACTGAGCAACAGACCAGGTCTGTTTTTCTTTAGCCCAGGTAAGAGGCTTCTGACGTTGTTTGTTGTTCAGGAGCGGCTTGACAAGAGGAATACGACACTTGAAGCCCATGTCCAGGATCAGTCTGTGTGTGGTGGCTCTTGACACACTGACTCCAGCCTCAGTCCACTCCTTGTGAAAGTCCCCAACATTTTTGAACGGCCTTTTCCTGACAATCCTCTCCAGGCTGCGGTCATCCCTGCTGCTTGTGCACCTTTTTCTTCCACATAACTTTCTATTAATGTGCTTTGATACAGCACTTTGGGAACATCCAACTTCTTTTGCAATTACCTTTTGAGGCTTTCCCTCCTTATGGAGGGTGTCAATGATGGTTTTCTGCACAACTGTCAGGTCAGCAGTCTTTCCCATGATTGTGATTTGAGCCAAGAATATTGCACCTTTTCACAATATTCTCATTTTCTGAGATTGTGGATTTGGGGTTTTCATGAGCTGTAAGCCATAATCATCACAATTATGACAAATCACGGCTTGAACTATCTTGCTTTGCATGTCATGAGTCTATCGCATATATTAGTTTCACCTTTTAAGTTGCATTACTCGAATAAATTAACTTTTGCACGATAATCAAATTTTTTGAGTTCCACCTGCACATTGTATTGAATAAAATGTAGTCTTCGGTTCACATTGCTGCGACCCCAAAGTTGTACGACTTGCTTATGACCTGCTTGGGACTCAATTGTGACTTGCTTGCAACTTTTGTGATTCAACATTGCGGTCTATGGTACGCAAATCCCAAAGTCGCAGAAAAGTGGCACAGGAACTTTTTTTAGTTGCTGAGACTTGCGTCGCATTGATTAAGGTGGCAAACATTGAAATGAATGAGTTTTGACTTGTCATGAGACTTTGTGTCGCATGTCACAAGATAAGTCACAGCAGTGTGAACTGGGGCTTAAAAAGGACCAGAAAAAAACAAAAAATAAAAAAAGAAGGATTTGCCATGTCCAAGAGACAACCAGAAAAGTTAACTGTGCCTAGTCAGTACCCTGAAAATGTTCCTTGAATTCCTCCTGAAGAACAGGGGTGCACTTCCTGGCATGTGGGTGTGCCAAAGCATTCCTGTGCCTACAGCAGTGTGGCTCTATATCTGCAGTGTGAGATCCGAGGCACTGCTGCCTCTGATTGATAGCCTCAGGCAAGTTGGAGGAAATCTGGTGTTGCCAATGCTATGCAGCTCACTGTTCTTGTTGCTGGAGGTCCTGACATGGGGAAGCAAAGCCCTGCCTCTACCTCTCTAGCCACACGGACACAGTGCAGAATAAGACAAGGCAAGTGATTAATGAGGAAAGATCTGCCACAGGTAATACTGACAACTTATCCTTTGGCCTCTGCCTGCCTTTTTTTTGTGCACAGCTTCCAGAGTTCTGTTCCTCATTAAGATGACCCCAGGCATTAGAAAGAACTAGCCACTGCAATGCATCCATTATTTTGGGGGAGGTAGATAAGCATTAACTTTCTCAAAAAATAGAATAGCTCACATTGACACAATTCCACAGTGCAACTTGTACTATGATAGGCACCAAAGGAAAAATGTTCACCTATTAATTGTTAGTATGATTAGATCTGCTAAAGAAGAAGACAACTGCTTGCCCCTCCCCCAGTATCACAGGTGTTCCTATAAAAAGGACAATGAAGAGGTCTTAAGCCAGCCATAGATGGTTCGAATCTCAGCCAGTTCAGCAGGGACTGGCCGAGATTCGAGCCTTCTATAGGTAGGCCGATTGTACTCCAGTTGATCCACTTGGGTACAAACAGCATGTCGGATTTTTTACATGCGATTATTGCAAGGAGGCAATAACCATTAACAATAATCACTGTGTTCCGAGGGAGGAATTGCCCCATTAACACTGTTGATGGGGCATTCGAGTGAAGAAAACCGAAGCATCTATGGCCTGCCTTGGGCAGATAATCCCAATATAATAATGATCGGGGCTGTCATGGCTGCCCACAGACAAAAGATTGTTACCCAATCCAGCCAAAAAGTTCCAGAAAGGAAAACTGTTCCCAAATGAGCACCATAGAAGTAAACAGATTAGTTTGAATCCCAGCCATGACACTATCTGCACAGAGTGTGCATGTTCTCCCTGTGCCTACGTGGGTTTCCTCCCACAGTCCAAAGACGTGCTGAAAGGTTAATTGGCTCCTGTCTAAATTGGCCCTAGTATGTGTGTGTGTATATATATATATATATATATATATATATATATATATATATATATATATATATATATATATATATTTTATTAGTGACCTAAGATTGTAAGCTCCTTGAAAGCAGGGACTGATGTGAATGTACAATATATATGTAGATCGCTGCATAAATTGATGGCGTTATATAAGTACCTGTAATACAATAAAAATAAATTGAACTACCTGACCATTGTAGTGGTTCCTGAAGAGTGTAGGTTGTTCCATTTTAATTTGTTGCCAGAAAACGCTCTCTAACATGACGAACAAGCCAGAGTCGGCGGTTCCCCAGTGTAATGCAGAACACCATTTTATGCTTAGCGCACACGATGCAATTTTCACATTGAGCTCCGTTAGCATTATTTGGATAATGTAGATGTTAATCCTGCCCACGCACAGCGCAATTTCCCTGGCCAGGCTCAAAGTGTATTGTAACGACATACCATGAGATTTCTACACTCAAATTGGGCAAATCCGTATGCCAAAAAAATCTCTGCAGAGCCAATGGAACAATGCTTGTACATTCAGTCACAAAAAAACAAAACACAAACCAATAAAAATAAATATGGGAAGTAGACAGATTTGATCCACAAGGTCTCCTTCTTAGATATGCCAACAACTAAGGGCCTGCCTGATTGAACATGGATTAGAGAACTCTGACAGATCCCCATACAATATAGTTATGGTAAATCTGAAGGGGATTTTACAAGAATCATTTGTTTATATAGTAACATGAGTTTAAAGATATCCATAGAAACAAAATGGCAATTTCTAAAATTTTATGCATAAAAGAATTCCTACCAGAAATCTTTCACAGACAAAATGTCACCGGAAAAAAAAAAAAAAAATATCAGTTTGTAGGCGTCAAATTGTTTTTGCATTTTTAAAACAAACAATCTTCTGCATGTCTATTGATCAATTTTAAGATAATGAAAATGATTGTACATACATTATAAATTTTTAGTAATATTTTTAAAGTGAGTTTTTCCAGAAAAAAAAAAATCATTACAGTTTATGAAATGATCTGTAGAAAAAATTCTGGTGAGTTTATTCAAATGCAAAAGGCAGATAAAATCTAGCTGGTTGTGGGGGGCCGTAGGTTGCCAAGTATTAATGCATTTGTGTGGCAGGTAGCACAGGTGAATGCCAGCAAGCCTATACAAATTTATGATAGGCTGACAGCCAACCATAGCTGATCACATATAATCGCACCTTGAACAACAAACTGTGTCCAAAGCTGCTCATCTGTCCCTAATGTAACCGTTCAATGTGCGATTCCAAGCAAATACCCATGGCCACCTGTCATTGACTTGTACAGGATTGCTGGCCGCAGCTGACCATATCCCGGTTGTGCTACCTGCTGAACAAATACGCTCTCTTTCTTGGCAATGTACAGTGTTCTGATCAGATCCGCCTTTGTTTTTCAAGAATATTTAAATAGAAGTTGAATTTTAGTCTACGGCCAGGTTGATGTAAACAGACGTGCTACCGAAGTCCATCTAGGTCCAAAAAATAAAAAAAGGGGTCAAAAATTGTTTGTATCCTTTTTTCAGACTTAAAAATGTAACAGATCAGGGATAAAAGGATGTAAATGGCTGCAAGTTCATAGACCTGACATGGGTCTATTACAAGATGCAGGAAAACGTAAAGGACTAGAAAACAGCATAGACACAATTGTCACCAAGTTGCATCTGGTCTGTTCTCCTTTGATTCAGAATGGATTTTGTTCACGGATCTTATCGGAATGAACACCACCCATGTGAATGGACAATAGGAAAAAAAGTCTAAAATTCTGCAGCACTAGAGACTTACTTGATCTGCTGGAAAAGCTCTACCACCAGTCACTCACTCTATGCAAGAGCATTCCACCATCTAGCTCTCGCCGAAAGATATGTTTTCTTCTCTCTGACTCCTTATTAATGCACTATTAACTCAGCAGAAATATTGGGGGAAAATGATCAAAATTGAAGCAGACAGAATCCGGAGCAGCTGTGCATGGCAAGCAACCAGCTTCTATTGGGCAGCACAGTGGCTAAATGGTTAGCACTTCCGCCTGGCAATATTAGGGTCATTGGTTCAAACCCCAACCATAGCACCACCCGCCTGGAGTTTGCATGTTCTCCCTGTGCCTGTGTGGGTTTCCTCCCTGCGCCTGTGTGGGTTTCCTCTGGGTACTCCGGTTTCCTCCCACACTCCAAGGACATGCTGGTAGGTTATTTGGATCCTGTCTAAATTGGCCCATGTATGTATGAATGTAAGTTAGGGACCTTAAATTGTACACCCCTTGAGGGTTAGGGACTGATGTGAATGTACAATATATATGTAAAGCGCTGCGTAAATTGACGACGCTATATAAGTACCTGAAATAAATAAATAAATCTTCAGCTGGTCCAGTTAAAACTTCAAAAATGAGCTCCAGATTCTGCCTGCCTCCAGTTTTCATAAATTCCTGCCTTGAATCCTCCCTACATTTATACCCATGTAGTGAAAACTGACCACCAGCTAATGGCATAGACAGGGACGGACTGACCATTTGGAAATTTGGGCACTGCCCGAGAGCCTGGGGTCAGTAGGGTGCCCCATGAGATGCCCCTGGTACCTTTTTCATAGGCCTTTTGAGTTTGGGCAAGGACACAAGGGCCCCATGATCCCCTATTGCCCAGGGGCCCATGAGTTGTCAGTCCGCCCCTGGGCATAGACCACTCATCTTTAGTTGCTATAGCCTTACCAACCTATGAGAAGCTCAAAAAGTATATATAAAGCCTAAACTTTGTGAGAGATTCCACTTCACTTCCTGTCCTGGAGATACAACAGGAAATAAAGAATAAAAATCCCTTCTAGACAGTTGTCACGGTACTGATGTTCATATTGGAAGTCCTCTCCCTCTTGGAATACTTATATTTTCTCTCGGTGACAAAGGTTACCAGAGCAAATAGGAGGTGAATCACTTCACTAGGGACAGCTATAAAAAAATATGACGGAGGTGTAACCATTCTATCCCTTTCACGCTTTCCAAAACAAAACAAAAAAAAGTTATGGCTCCACTTGTACTAGAAGAATAATTTCCCAACACGCAGTAGCTTTTTAATAGCCAGAGAGGCACACAGCACCAAGCGTAAATCTAAAACCTGATATGTAATAGAATTACTAAGAGAAACTTTCCCAATGTAACAACGTTGGGTTTACTTTGTGGCTGGAAGTAATCATGACATCTGTAGACCCAGAACAGCCCCCCCCCCCCCCCCCCCAGTGATACTTTGCATTCCAGGCATGCAAGCAAGCCAACCTCATCTACTATAGAAATCTTAACCCTACACTGTACAAAGGAGCGTGCTACAGAGTGTGTGCCGACAGATGTGAGCAGATGCTGGTCCACAATGTCAATGTCTCGGAGTGCCAGTCCTAGTGAGCACTCACCTTATGAGCAGTAGCCTGGGTGGGTGCACGACCGTCCTTCTTGGGAAAAGTTGTACAAGCTCAGTGCAACACAGGCAGGAAAACTTTTACTTTTGTCTTGCAGCAGAAGGGGGTCAGTAATTGTATCCTCCTGCTTGTTCTCAGCTTCAAAGAACATGTAGAAAAAAAAAAAAAGAAAAAATCCTGCCCCTCCCACACCTGCAGACAGAACAGCCCCCTCCCACCCCCCCACTCCCCTCCCCATCCCAGCCTAACAGCCACCTCCCCACTCAGCAAGGAATGGCATACACTCAGCTTTATCAGTCTACAGTCAGCTGGACGAAGTCTGAGAAACAAATCTGCCAGAGGTCACCTCCGCCATGCTGTATAAAGAATCACAACTCCCCATTAAAGCATGAAAAGAAAAATACATATATTTCCTTTAAGTGCATCTAAGAGTATAATGTAGATGGGGAGTGCAAACGCCGCCTGTTCCATCTAAATGAAATGCTGCTGAAACATACATTTTAATGCAAAGTGCAGCCTGTTTGACCTTCTTCGACTGCAATGCAGACGCATCTCAATAAGACCAGCTGCAACCAAAGAAATGCAAGACCAAGTAAAAGAGGGCCAAGCAAAGATGTGAGCTGGCCACAGATGGATCAAAAATAGTCTGGTTCAGCAGGGAGTGGCCATATTTCGGTCCATGTGTGGCTTCTCCTGGTCTAACAATCAACTTCTGTTGAACAAGCTTGTGGGAATTTTTTTTTTGGTCAATGGCTATAGCTGCATCAGAGTCCCACTGTCAGAATACAATGTCTCAGTGGGAAGGATTCCTTTCTCCACCTCAATTATGTGCAGGAAGGAATCCATTTGTTTAAACGATCCATCTATGACCAGCCTTGGACCGGTCATCGACTGAGCACGATTAATGGGAATCTGATGACTTGTGTTTGATGTGCCAGAAAACCACAAGCCCCAAGTGTTGGGGTGCTCATCAGCGATCCCACACACAAGGACTATGCTTCTCCCTTGCTCTTCTCAGTAACATTGATGAGCTACAAGAAGTGGCAGTATACAGCGTCCGATGGAGGACTGGCATTAAAAAGGGACCCCCAATACATTGGGATGGTTTTTCAAGGAGCAGAGACAGAGGCGGACCCACAACGCATGGGGCCCCCCGGGCAATAGGGGATCATGGGCCCTGTGTCCTTGCCCAAACTCAAAAAAGCCTATGAAAAAAGGTACCAGGGGCATCTCATGGAGCCCCCTACTGACCCCGGGCCCTCGGGCAGCACCCAAGTTTCCAAATGGTCAGTCCGCCCCTGAGCAGAGAGATGGAAGAGTAAAGCTGGCCATAAGCAATCTCTGCGCAATTCACCTAAAGCTGGCCATAAATGGATTGAATCTTCGCTGGTCCCTGCTACACCATCTGAGATTTGATCCATCCATAGGTGGTTCTACTGAAGTCGATACATCAATCGACTTCAGTACAACCAGCCTGTCAGATTTTTTGCATACGACTACTACCAGCAGCTACATCCAATAGCAGTAATTATTTTGTTCTGCTGCCAGGATAGGCTCCCTGCTGGCAAAACACAATATCTCTGTGGGAGGGATTCCCCCATCAACACTGACTGTGTTGATGGGGGATTTGAGTGATTTTCTTTCTTGCAACTTATGCTTGCAGGAAAGAAAACCGAATCATCTATGGCTTTCCTTAGACGTACCAAAACAATTACTAATATCAATAGGAGGACCTGCCTAAACAATTCAAACTGTATGCAATTGGGCAGGCACTTGCACTAGTTTGGGACCTGTATGGCAAGTGTAAGAGATTGCATGTACTACACGAGGACCATGTTAAGGGTGCGCTACCACAAACAGTGTCTTTTTTTTTTTTATATAAATATTTATTGATTTTCAACAAAATTAATTTTACAATAATTTTTTCTCCAATAAAAAAGAGAAACAATATCACTTTACTACAATAATAATCTCCCCAAATGTCTCTATCCCCCCTTCCCCCTCCCATCTACCCTCCTCTCCCTACCTCCTCCCCACCCCCATCCACCCACTCTGCGTTTTCCCACCTCTCCCTGTATAAAGCAATCAGAGTATTCATCTTATTAGATGTTATATCTTCATATATTTCACCTTCGCATTAAACTCTTCCCATTTTTTCCATTTGACATAATATGTCTCCATCTTTTCTAAATGCATATAATAAAGTTTCTTCATCTCACAAATCTGATTCACTCCAACTACCTAATCCTCTTCCGTCGGCACATCCCTTTGCTGCACTTAAAAAATACCATATACCCGAATCCTTATATAATTTCACTGATAACTCCGTATTATGCCAGTCCTTCATCGGACGCTGTATACTACCACTTCTTGTAGTTCATCAATGTTACTGAGAAGAGCAAGGGAGAAGCATAGTCCTTGTGTGTGGGATCGCTGATGAGCACCCCAACACTTGGGGTCTCTGGGTCTAATCTAACGTTGATTTCAGTAATCCTCCTCACTAAGTGAACTACTTTTTTTCAAAATACTTGTATTTTTGGGCAGTCCCACCATATATAATACAACGTGCCTATCTCTCCACAAACAGTGTTATCCCTACTCTGTCTGATCCACCATGGTTGATAGGAATCAGCCTATGTCTGTAGCCCCTGTCCTCATTATATTCACCCTCAGGCCTGGGGGGGAAAAAAAAAAAAAAAAAAAAAAAAAAAAAGCTCCAACACCGAAGTGTCCAAGCTAAATCTCTGAAAGTTTAATGCAAGACAAGAACTATTATACAGAACTTAGTAGGCATTGCTTAATCTTAGGATGACCAATGAAACATTCCATTCTTATCAATATAGTTACGTGAAGAACAGGAACTGAGGGATACCATATACGGTAGTTCCATTTAGAGTGAAATGGAAACTATTCTCAGAAAATGAGAGAGAGATGTTACAAGCGAAACTAACTATTCACACATCTAGAAATAAAGGCATTATATAAAATGGATGCCAGTTAATAAGATATATCTCCTTACAATGAGATGCTCCAAAGTCCATGTACAACTGCAAATAAGTGCCACGTTAACCAGTGCTTTGCCCATCCAAGACAAAGTAACCCGGATGTTGGACAGGAGGCACCCTCCGATACTAATACTTACCTACCACCCACTCCCGTGACGGCCGTTTTCCCTCTTATGAGAGCACCTCCTTTCCCCGGTTGGAGCTAAATCAGAGCCAAGGATCCTCCCACATCCCCATGTGACAATGGTGAGACCTGGTGATTGGCCACCCAAGAGCACTGCATGGTGTGAGGCAAAGGAAAGCATACTGGAAGTACTGTGTTTTTCTTGACATCTCAGCTGGGAAAAGAGTTTTGTGGGGGATCAAGAGGAAGTTAAGTACAAAAGCACCGGAAAGAGCAAACTGTCCAACACACCTTAATGGGCGACGTATAGGTTCACTTTAAGTGAGATGGCAGGACCAGCATGCCAGGCAATTAGTGCTCCATGTGTCTGGAGGCTACACAAAGCTCATCTTTTCCACAAATTGTACTGAAGTGTAATTACCAAGCTTTATAGTCCTAGTGAAAACTCTAGCAAATCCCTGCTTGCTGCAACAAGTTTTCAGATTCATTTCTCTACTCCCAAATTCATTTTAAAATTAAAAGGGTTTGTAAGCCTGAACTTAAAACTTCTTTTGTTTTGTCTCTTCCAGTCTGTTAAATATACAAAAGAAAAAGCTTTATCTGTTCAACAAGTACAAAAAAGAAAAAAAAAATCCTTTTTATCCTGCCAGAAATCTAGTAAGCCAGGAATGTGCGATTTGTATTGCCCAACGCCCGGGACATGTAGTACCGGCCAGGTGTTTTTTTTTTTCTCGTTTAGCCCTGCTACAGGCAAGCAGCAGGTTTCCTTTTTTTTTTTTTGGCCCCCATGCGTGCGCCCTCCAACACTTCGTTCATGTACCCCAGGCTCCACTTGCCCACCAGGCCCGGGACTGCGAGTGCCAGCAGTAGAGGACGGAGATGAGCAGACAAACTTCTGCTCTCCTACCCTTCTTGACCTGACCTGGAAGTGAAATGTATGATGTCACTTTTAGGTCCCCATAGACAGAATGGCCAGGAAAGAATGTAATGCAGTGCAACTACTTGTCCTTGGACAAGTAGTTTTTAAAAAAAAATGTCCACCCCTGTAAGCTGTTATCAGTTATGTTGTTTCCATTTCTTGTTGTGGGCTCCCTATATTTTGAAGAGTGCAATGTGCGAGTGTTGTCACCCTAGGACAGGAAGTGTGTTACTGCAGCATCACAAGGTAAAAATCCAAAACCAACTGTCCACCTGTGAGCCAATACAGTGAATTCTCTGCAAACACAACCCAAAAATATTCAATAAAAACATATATTAAATCAAAATTATAGGTTCGCAAACACATCACACCAACTCATACAATAGTGTCAACCAATATATAGATAAATATCGTGCTGCGCTCTATTATTATCAAAGACACATTGATTACGTGTAAAAAATAAACTAAAATAAAATCTAATATAAAGTGTGGAAAAAAAACAAAACAAAATGTGAAAAAAACAAATGTCCACTGTGCTTATACAATCCCTTTATACTATGGAAATAAATGTATCATTGTATATCCAGAGACTGATACATAAGAAATGATTTCCCCCTGATGTAGCCACGTGACCGGTGGCGTAACGCGTAGGGGAGGGGCTCTGACGTCACCGCGTGCAGTCGGCTTTTCTGGCGAGTACAGACACAGTGTGTGTTAACACACTGCTACCTTTTCTTCTTAAAGGCTTGTTTATTTTAATGAAAATGTGAGTGTGAGAGTTTGGCAATAAAAGGAGTTTTATAAGGATAAAGCACTATCTTCTGTTTTTCTTTGCAATTATATATGTGGAGTTTGCTGGAGTAATTCTGGAGGATTGTTCCCCTGGAGGGGAGAAGGAGGGAAGATTCATCCAACCATCCACACACCCATAGATCCATACAAGATAATGAGGAGAGGAGAGGAGTGACACCAGGTTAACCAGGAAAACTGCGGTTTGGAGAGATTGTTTGAAGGTGATAAGCAGTATACTTCATCCTTTTATAGGATAAACTGCGTGATTTAGCCTGTTGAGGCTGGAGACCGAGGTGAGCGCATGATAGAGCTGTATTTATGCTGCAAAAGTTTTTGGAACCTGGAGTGTATTCATCTAATTAGCACAGATTTCTCAAAAAGAAAGAGGACTCTTATGTATCAGTCTCTGGATATACAATGATACATTTATTTCCATAGTATAAAGGGATTGCATAAGCACAGTGGACATTTGTTTTTTTTCACATTTTGCTTTTTTCACACTTTATTTATATTAGATTTTATTTTAGTTTATTTTTTACACGTAATCAATGTGTCTTTGATGATAATAATAGAGGAGCGCAGCACAATATTTATCTATATAAGCATCACAAGGTAAAAGCAAGAAAACTAATGCACCCACCACATCCAAGAACTGGTACTCTATATCTTCGTTCTTAGGTCTGGATACACCTTAATCCTTAGGTTTTGAAGGGAGCCACCTTCTTTGAGGTTCCAGAATGGGGTACTTTTCAAGGTTCCAGGACTACCAGAGGTAGGTGCACCCCACCACAGCTGTACTTCCTATAATACAACTCATACAGACAGACAATCTGATCTTAGCGAGGGATGAATCAATACAACAGCAGAAAGCCATGAACAAGTAGGTGCTATGCCCAGAGATAATCCCCAAGGAGGTGGAATGTCGGTGCTCTGGCTCTGTGTCTTCCCAGCACAGATTCAACTGATCGAGGATTGGTATAGCCAGCACTCGTCTTCCCAAATAAACTCTGAGCGAGTAAAATGTGCGTATAAAATGGATTACGCGTTTGACTAAGGCTTATTGCCGAAATGCGTAACCCATTTTATATGCACATTTTACTCGCTCCATAAAGTTTATTATTCGGGAAGATGAGTGCCAGCTATACCAATCCTCATCAACAGCAGAAAGCCACCCTGTGGATGATATTTGTGTGGCAATGTATGGGAGGAATAAGGTAAGTATATCATATATGGGTGTTTCAAGCTGTGGCCCTGCAGCTGTTGTGGAACTACAAGTCCCATAAAGCAGCAATGCAAGGCTGACCGTTACAAGTATGGCTACCAAAGGCAGAGGCATGATGGGACTTGTAGTTTTGCAACAACTGGAGGGCCACAGGTTGAGCACCAATCCCCCAGGCAAAATGAGCAGTTAACCCCTTGAAGTGCAAGGGAAAAGATTTTTCTCATCCTGCAGAGTTCAGCTTTAATCCATCACAGATATCCTGGAAATGTTCCCTATTTTACGTTCCCTACACTCAAGTATTCGGGCTCGCTTTACCTTCTCCCTGTGCTGCAGTTAGCCAGTTGTCAATGCTGAAGAGATCTGCACTGACACGGAGGCCAGCACTGCTATCTGCAGGATTGCACTGTGGGCCCAGGCTGACTTGATGAGGCACGTCTAGGAGGAGTGTCTATGACAGCCTGGGCTTACAGGAAATAGGGTAAATTATGATGGCTGTCATTCAAAAAAGAAGAGAAGCAGCGCTGGACCTAAAGTAGTACACATGCAGGGTGTAGCACCAGAGATGAGGTAAGTATTGCAGTAAAAGTTTTTTTTTTTTTTTTTTTAAACAGTTCTGTGCCACATTTAGGGCAAGTTCACACCACATGCAGTGTCTAGTGTATTTGTTTTCTGCATCAGAAATGCACACAGTAGTTTGCAATGGTGAGAACTATGACATCGGAATCCCTGTAGTGTGTTCCAATAACAAAAAACAAAAAGTAGGACATGCCACATTTTTTTCTGCATGGAACTGCACTGGAACGCAGCAAAATGCATCAAAAACGCATAGGTCACTAGAAGATGAACAAAAAATACAAGGGGAAAAAAACACATAGTGGAACGCATCAAAAATGCATATAAATGCATGTGGAAAGAATCTGGAGTTTTGCTTTAAGGTGCAGAGATCTCAGGGCCAGAGTCCATAGGGTATTATAAAAGTCTATGGTGATTCAAGAAGCCAGGCGCCATCTAAACCGAAATATCAGTTCTGGGTGAGCAGATCCCTAAATAACTATGCTATGAACAGACAGACGACACGCTTATCTTTAGACCGGTGAGCAAGCAGGAGATCAGCAACGGCCTTGCTACTTCTCATGCTTAAGGTGGGGTAACCAGGGGCCGACTGACCATTTGGAAACTCGGGCACTGCCCGAGGGCCCGGGGTCAGTAGGGGGCCCCATGAGATGCCCCTGGTACCTTTTCCGAGTTTGGGCAAGGACACAGGGGCCCCATGATCCCCTATTGCCCGGGGGTCCAATGAGTTGTCAGTCCACTCCTGGGGGTAACCATTGTGTTTGTTTGCTGAGATCCACAAAAATTCCACTTTACCTTTACAGTAACAAGCCACACGCACACACACAGCCGGATGGGGGAATGTAGCATCTACGTGTGTGGACAGGATACCCCATCAAACATCCTCCTGACAGCTTCTTCTGGAGGCCAAGGTCTGGACAGGAGCCAGACAACAACCTTATACTTGAGAGGAACCCAAAAGGGGTGCTGGAGGAGGAAAGGAGAGCAGCATGCATGGCAGGAATGTACACGTCATAAAACACACACAATCAATAATTATTAGTGCGAAGAACGTCTGATTTATCTGGCACACTTGTATGTGAGCAATGCTCGAGTGGCAGCCATAGAGGCAAACATATAATTCAGCACAAAAGATATACAACATAAATAATACTATGAATGGGGTGGAAGAAAATTAAAAACCTTAGGCCCCTTTCACAAGAGTGGACCAATTGGGTCCACCGGTTTGTTTTTCAAGGGGACCCGATCAGACACTTCATTGCTCTCTATGGAGCGGCGGATATAAAACACAAAAAAAAAAAACACAAAACACAAAAAAAACAAACAAAAAAAGACAAAAAAAAAAAAAAAAAAAAAAAAAAACAGACAGGTGTCCATTCACAGCCCCCTGCATCCAGTTCAATCCTGTCCACTAAATACAGACCGATGGCGTTCCCCATCCATCTAGCGGATTGGAGGACGGATGGATGGAAACGGACAGACGGTCTGTTTTCAATCCGTCAGCCCATAGGAGGCCAGCAGGCTGTGTCTTGGCCCACTCTGCATAAGCAGAACACACGTGGACCTGTCATCCGCTTGCACAACAGGCAGATCCCCTGCTGAGGAAGCAGATCTGCGCTGATGGGTCTGCCCTGTGTGAAAGGAGCCTAGCCCTCCGTCCACATCAAGCCCGGCTTTGAAATCGTGCGACTTACAGTGACGTCGCACAATTTCAAAGTCGGGTTACCCACCGATTTCAGGTGCGATTTGCAAGACATCCGATACAGATGTCGATGCAAATCGCACCAAAAAGTAGTGTATGTACTACTTTTGAAATTACTGCTTCCAATTGCAGACAATAGGGTGCAAATTGACATGCAATTTGCAAGTCGCAGGGCATGCAAATCGCATGCCAAGTCGCATCTAGTGTGAACCAGGGCTTAAAGTGGTTCTAAACTGAAAACTTTTTTTTTGCCTAAAAGGGTAAATCCGCCCAAAACTGATATTAGTACATTTCCAGTAGATATTGGAGCTATGAAGGATGTCACTGCTGGATTTCCAATTGAATTCTATAAAGAAAAAAAAAAAAGAAAAAGAATACAATAGCTCCGCAGGAGGGAATTAAATACAGACAGTGGGGAGAGTTCCTCACTGTCACAATAGTATGATTGCTGCTGGTGGCTATAGCTGGCTGCACTGATTGAACAAAAAGAAAAACCAACAAGCTGGTTGTACAAAAGTCGATTGAGAGACCAACTTTCGTACAACCAGCCTGCCCAGACATGAATCGAAATTCAGCTGATCCCTCCTAAACTGGCCGAATTTCAATCCATCTATGGCCAGCTTTAGACTTTCCATCCATTGAGTACTATGGCGGAGTTGTAAAATAGGAGTGCAGTGGAGTGGACATCAGTGCGGAAAAGGCAGGCCCTCTCTTTCGGGTCTCATAGTGACAGCTGCATTCTATAGAATGCCCTCTGAAAAGTGACACCATGTGCAGAGAAAGGCCTACAATGTTCTAACCCCAGGACACACAATCCTTCTGTCACCACAAGCCCATTAAGAGAATAAAACCCCCCCAAGGCCACCTAATCATTCTTGGCTGGAGGGGACAATGATTCATCCACTTAACTCTCCCTCTCAGCGGACGGTCGGGCGCTGGAATAGCATCTAAGAGATCATTCATACGGTCCCTGCTACAGCCAGTACTGGACGTCATCGGCCTTCTCTGCAGCTGCTGCCAATATCTACATCTATTTGGATATAATAAATGTTCTGCTATGCTGAGCAGGTGTGCCTAAACCAAGACTTTCATCCAAAACTACTAAAGGCAAAGTTTTTTTTTTTTTTTTTTTTTTTTTTTTTAGAAGGATTAGAACACCTGTCAGGTTTTATTACAGTGTCCCCATTAGAATGATTCACTCGACTGGATGTGGTGAAGAGTGTGACTTCACCATATTGCCTCTCCACCTCATCCAATCAGAGAACATTTTGCATTCATTCAGAATTTGCAAAGTATTCTCTGAATGGCACCCGTGGTTAGTGGCCGACCTCCTGGTTCAGAATGCAGGGGGCTGCTCAGCACAGGAGCAGGAGATCACTGGAGTAGCGATGTCTATGTCTGTGATTTTCAGGGAGATCAGCCAGGTCGATATATAGGTATACTGGCATATGCCTAGTTACAAGGAAGAAGAACCAATGAAACAAATGTAAAAAATATTCATACCTTGAATTCCTCTTTAACCTCTTGCCTACCAGTCACTTCTACCCCCTTCCTGCCCAGGCCAATTTTTCGGCTTCCAGTGCTCTCCACACAATGAATGACAATTGCATGTCCACGCAACACTGTACCCAAATTACATTTTTTATCTTTTGTTTGATGCAGATAGAGCTTTCTTTTGGTGGTATTTAGTCACCACTGGGGTTTTATTTTGTTTTTTTTTTGCTAAACAAAAACGGCAAAAAAAAAAAAAAAAAAAAAAGGAGTCTAATTTTGGTTATAAAATTTTGCAAACAAGTAATTTTTTTTCTTCACTGATGCGCACTGATAGGCAACACTGATGATCAGTGAAGACAAATCTCCTGACAGGCTTGCACGGCTCTTTTTTCCCCGTAAAAGCGTGAGAAGAAAGGAATGCAGATTGCCATGTGATCAGCTGTGTCCAATCACAAACGTTAAGGACTGCTATAATTGGCCCTTTAGTCCTCATGCACACTTTACGTTTTTACAGCAGCTGTTTTTGGCTTTTGCCGTTTTTTTCTACAGCCAGTAAACTCCCCGGCATGTTATCCCGTGTGTCCATCCCCGGCATGTTATCCCGTGTGTCCATCCCCGGCATGTTATCCCGTGTGTCCATCCCCGGCATGTTATCCCGTGTGTCCATCCCCGGCATGTTATCCCGTGTGTCCATCCCCGGCATGTTATCCCGTGTGTCCATCCCCGGCATGTTATCCCGTGTGTCCATCCCCGGCATGTTATCCCATGTGTCCATCCCCGGCATGTTATCCCATGTGTCCATCCCTGGCATGTTATCCCATGTGTCCATCCCCGGCATGTCTATCCCATGTGTCCATCCCCGGCATTCTATCCCATGTGTCCATCCCCGGCATTCTATCCCATGTGTCCATGCACACATAGACTGGAATCAACGTTTTTTGGCTGGGATGTTTTTTGGCTAGTGGTTTTCTAGGAGGTTTTTTTACTGTAAAAACGCTTTAAAAAACTGCAAAAACTGGTGTTTTTGGACAATAAAAACGCCGCTAAACACGAATGCAAAACGCTAAAAAAAACCTCACGTTTTTAAACGTGACTTTACACAGCTAACGCTACCAGCGTTATCAAAACGCTCTGTGTGCATGGAGCCTTACCCTGATCTGTGATCACAGAGCGCACCCCATGTGCACTGCAGGAGGAGCGCGGGGGGGGCAGGGTTCTGGGCGGATGTCTATTGATACCCTCCCAGAACTGGATGACTGTGCTGTAGCCATCTTTTGGTTATAGTGCAGTTGGCAAGTGGCTAAAGCATATCAAAGGTTAAGAAACTAAAATCTGTCATTTATGTGCCATTGATAGCCCCTGCCTGGGCGCACCTTTTGCTCTGTTGGTGTTAGAGCACGGTTTTTCTTTATTTTTTTATGTGCAATTGATGGCCCCTGCATGGGCGTCTCTTGTTGCTCCCGTCTTCTTAAACGGTTTATAAATTAGTAAAAAAATTGAAATACAAAAAATCTAATATAGCAGCTCTCCAGTCGTGTTGTGACTGCATTAGTTTTCTTTTTTTCAGCCCCCACTAGTAACAGTAACACACTTCCTGCCTCTATGCTCACTCTCTCCAGTGTGTATATAGAAGGGAGCTATGGTTGTCACCCAGGCTGGACTGCAAACAGTCTTGTCCCTCTTCACTTGCACTACATGGGGGGTGGGGGATTAGTTGTCATACAAAGCAGATAATTTCCTCAATCACATTGATTGATGATGCGGCTAATCCAGAGACAGAGCAGTGAAAGCATACACAGAATCCTAGGAGGTGAGAGGATCCAAACTGCAGAGGTATGACATAAAGAGCAGTGAATGCGCAAATCTGACAGTATACAGAAGGTATTAATTTATGGTACTTATACCAATTTACGCAGCGCTTTACATATATATTGTACATTCACATCAGTCCCTAACCCTCAAGGGGCGTACAATCTCTAAGGTCCCTAACTTACATTCATACATACACATACTAGGGACAATTTAGACAGGAGCCAATTCACCTACCAGCATGTCTTTGGAGGTGGGAGGAAACCGGAGTACCCGGAGGAAACCCACGCAGGCACAGGGAGAACATGCAAACTCCAGGCAGGTGGTGCCGTGGTCGGGATTTGAACCAACGACCCTAGTACTGCCAGGCAGGAAGTGCTAACCATTTAGCCACTGTGCTGTATTTGATTTAAAACAAAAACACATTACACTTCAGCTTTATCAGACGTGTTTCTTCCAAAGCCTTGTTTGCAATGGTTTTCTAGCCATACACCGTTATTATAGAAAGCATCTCCCAAAGAGAGCGGAAAATGCGCTTACCTAAGCGCTACAGGGTTAAATCAGGAAGGTCAAACAGAATAATGAGAGGCAATTAAAATGATGGCATCATTGTACAACCATGATAATTATATACATTAGGTAATTTCTGAATACACAGCCAACACCAGAGGAAGCTAAAAGCGTCTAGAGATATACAAGACGGGACAGGGTGGGTTTAATTGTGGCACCTCACCTACCCCTCAGGGAATGCAATGTACAGATAGGAAGGGTCAGCAAAGATATAAAAGCTGAAGAGGGGGGGGGGGGGGGGGGGGGGGGGAAACCCTTAAACTGTTCTTTTTTTTTCTCT